CGTGGTAGTAGTAGCAATAGCAATTCTTCTTTTCCATCGAGAATCATCGTTATTGGCACCGAAAGTCTATCCAGTCCTTTATCATACGTAATCGTTGTGGTCGAAGTGCCTCGAGGTATTTTGCGACAGCATGGCTGGCAACATCTCGAGGGCAACAACCTACGATTGCCATCCGCATCGAACATCACACCAGGATTACCCGCGCTCGTTTAAAATCGGAAACTGATCACAGACAGGCGAGGAACCAAGGGGGGAATACTGGACGTAACCATAGGAGATAATCAAATGTTTATTTTTATATTGTCTCCCACTCTCAAATAAAAAGCAACTATCCAGCTTTTTGAACGGTGACGGATTAGTGAACGTTGTTGGTAAACATCGTCAGAACAGCTAGCAGATCCGCGCTGAAACGTCCAATGGCTGCCGCTCCGAAATCGTAACGGGCATAAATTTCGAAAGCTACGATAGCAATTTTTCGCAGATTGATTGCTACATGAGAAGAGGCTGGTGTGACCCTTGGCGCCATATTTCGCATACTATCCCGTAAATAAAAACACAATCATTCTACAAGTGTGACATTGTTTCAAACTTTGCTGGATTTAGCCTGTCGCGTGGATCCGAGCAACAGCGCTACGGCCTAAACAAATGACTATTGTACAAACTGATGTCTTAATGTCTGCTTTCATTGGTGCATACCTTATTGAACTATGATTTTTCGCAGCGTCGCATATAAGAAAATACTACGTATATACATATGTAAATATTGAAAAAAAAAAACAGTGTAAAAAAGAGGAAAATTTACACATTCGAAAGTAACGCAAATCTTACAGATCAGTCAAGTGTAATCCACAGATCGCAATCACGATGGTAAAGGGCCTTTGGTTGACGACAAAAACTTCTCTTTACACTCGCTAATCATCTGGCAGATATTCCTATCCTGAAGTATATCCGTTCGTATCGATAGGCGTGGCCCGGTATATGCATGCAGGAGAAAGGCCCTAAAGGCAGCTATGCCAGTCCCGAATGGCTAGCAAAGGTCGGCCGAGCGGCGGAAGAGATCACCAGCCAGTCGTATTTGATTGTCTTTGGTATGTCTGTACCATAGACTACGAGCTAATTGCCTTTTGTTAATTAGGGACCATCATCAGGGATGAGCCGCAACGTCGTAGCAAGGAGTTGCTGCCCACCTTTGCACCATGCTCGCTATTATCGTATTTTCTGTAATCGATACTAAAAAAGTTAGCTTCGATAACTCCTTGTAAGATTTTCCCAGAGCAGAATTAGATGGAATTGGTTTTCTCAACATCTTGTGGTAATTTGTGCGGTTGTGTGACCATGTATACTAACTTTAGGAGTCTTCGTATGTGTAAACGCTGTCGTATATTACCTATATAGTCGAATTAGGTAAACACATTAATAAATCACTAAAATTGGATACTGAAAGATGATTTGATAAAAAAAAAAAGCAAGCAAGAACCAGATATCACCTGTAGAGTCAATGCCATCATCGGCAAAGTTGGCGCAGACATCAATACGCAGCTGATGTAGTTGGCCTTTTTGCTGAAAAAAAAATAGGACTGAGTTAGAAAGGTTCGAGCTCATTGGAGCCGTGGCGTCCCGTCCAATGAATTAATTCTGTTTTTGCTCTGATCCAACCTACTTGAGCTATGAGGAAACTATGAGATCAAACCCGGAAAAAGCGTTAGAAAGAACCGTTCAGAAGTGGTTAGACTAATATTCAGATAATGGTCCTTTAAGGATCTATGTGGGTTCTGAGGACTTGACAGCTTGTTTGATGTTTTTCGTTAAGAATTATAATAAATAGAAGTATTTAGGGAAAATCTTCTAAATACAAATTCAAACAATATAACATGGATGGCATATGGGGTCCTTTGATTTTTGAAATTCAATTATGATTAAACTAAATAACTTAGTTACAATAGATCTAATTGCAATTTAAGACAGGCAGGTGGTGACAAATTCTAGGCAAGCCCTGGCGTAGAAAATGAAGACTATCTGGTCTATAAGACAGAGCCAACAATACATCGCTAAAGGCCCAAAAACTCTGTTTCAAGACATTTTAGCCCTGCAGGCGCACGAAAGGCTATATTCGTGACTGACACGCTTTTTACAAGGAGACCTTGATTGGAGGGTCAATAGACGTTGCGAAAGCGTCACTGTTTGCCGTAAAAGCACAAGCGCTATTCGTCCATTGCATCTGACATATGAAGTGAATCTATGACACGCCGTGCAACAAATTGTTACTCCCAGTGCAAAAAGGACACGAAGCAACTTTCGTACGGAGTAGGTAGACTTCGTATAAAGCTTGTTTGTATTAGGCTCAATACAGAGTTTTTCTTTATAGATGTGATATTTTGTAATGCTTCTATGAGCATAAGGACTACGCGACGAAAAGGGCGTAAACCAGAAAAAGAAACGAACGTAGATCAGAAGTTTGATAAACAGAGTAAATGTTTTACGAAACTCGTATGTTTCTTAAAACCATATCGATAAAATTAGGTAACGAAAAATTATACAAAAAGCGCAGAGTTCGTATTTCCTCATGAAGGAGAAAAATACTATGGATATTTGTGGTTGCAAAAGGTGGCCTGGCCTGCAGCTATCTCGATTTTATTGAAAGCTACGGAGGCGCTTTACATCCGTGAAGTGAAGCCTAAAATAGTGGTAGGCATGCTACAGGACCAACAATATCCAGCTGTATAGGGCCGCAATGTCGCCCAAAAAATGTGGTACTTCTTGCGCTTTTGCTGCGATTATTAGTATTATTATTAGGACCTGTTGGTGGTATCCGTAGCGCTAGGCATCTATAGTTGCTATCCTGTAGTGAGGAACGAAAAGACGTAGTTCGCTCACTCGGTTTCTTCAGCTCGCTACTTCCTGCAACTGTAGCAGTAATCAGTGACACTTGGGAAAAAACAGGAAGTTTAGGACGGAAGTGGACAGGCTGGAATGTTTGGTAGTTCGGCAGTCTCGACCACAGTCAGCTGCAGCTCACAGGCAACACTTGGCCCACTAAAGGAACGATGTACGGAGTTAATTGGCCCCAGGCGGTACCACACATGACCAACGGATCGGCTGGCTGATAGGCCGGCCGGCTGGTCGCTCAGACTTTCGTTAATTTCCTTTTGTTTTTGCTTTAGCATGCCAGATCGAGCTTCAGACGATGAAGAAACAAAGGCAAACGAAGTTAGTGGATACCAAGAGGATTTGAGGGTTTTCGAACACGGCCTGACGCCAGATTGGCCGAGATTGTGCTCGGGAAGTTCTGTTGGGAAAAAGGTGCGATGCAGAAGGGATTGCGTAGCGCTCGTGGCGGGAACAGGTTCTTGTGGATAAGACGAGGCCAACTTTGTTGCTGCTTACGGAAAGCGCCTCTTTCATTCAGGCTTTGCAAGAATCACCCTCTCGTGGCAGTATTACCGTGCATTCTATATAGTTTAACGCTATAGGGTACCGCGTGGTGTTGTAGACGCCAGTTAGTTAACAACATAAACCGTTAACGACACAAGCAGACAGGGGGGGGGCCTGGTTCCGTAACGGAGTCAGGTCGAAATTCGTTTTTATTAAAAGGCAAGGCAATACAAGAGTGAGAACGGGGATCTCGATTATCGAGGTGACAGGAGCCTAAAAGGAGGACGACTTAAGGATTATTGAGGTACTATAGGTCGGGACAGAAACGACCGTACACGTTGTCAAACAATAACATGCATTCTGTAAATGGTAAAAAGTGCGATGTTCCTTTAGATTAATTTTCGCCATAGGAAATGTGCAATGTTTTATTGGTAGAAAACAAGTATCCATAGGTGTACGTATATATATGATGAATATATAACACTGGGTATAGAATTTTTATCTTGGATTGTAGTTCGTATTCTCGTTAATAAAGTCATTTTTATGAAAATTTATTGATGTTGCTTAGCTTTGCTTTTTTTTTAGACGGATTTTCCCTAGAAGTTACCCTTCCCAAAGTGACGCCTGCTTCTTCAAACTGATCTCTAGATATTCATCTACATTTTCATACGTGTGAAATATTCTAATTACAAGACACTAAATGTGCCTCATAATATAAACTAAAAAAATGTATACAACTTAGGACCATCGTTCGATATCGTCGCGAAATTACAGAGTGAGAAGATAAAATTCCCGAAAAACTGACGCTGGCATTTTTTTTCCTACTGTTATTTAGTGACTGTTCTTTTCATTGCTTAACGCTAGCGTACGGCCTGCAATGAGGTGCTGCTGAGCTGAAAGCGCAACATTCCGTGATGGAAGAGCAAACGCCAAAGCTACTACTTATCGTTAAGATTACAGAAAAATGCTCTAAGTAATGAACGTAGAACGGTGCCTATCAGTACGTTTAATTTGGCCATAAGCTATGCATATAAATAAGTTCCGAACTCTTTAGCCAGGCATAGGTATTAGTACCAATATTCAGCAAGTGCCAGGTAATAAATCAAACAGAAGCTTTCGTTAATAAGTAAAGTAATGTACATATAGCTGTTGGCCATTTTTCGCTATGTGCACGAGTGGTACACGTCGATAATAGAGAACATCGATGCACCGGGAACCAATCGGACCGCAATAGAAATTTCTATCGGTCACAGCTCAATGTGCAAGTGGCAATTCAGTTGTGTCGATGGTACGTAGACGCTACACAGGATGTACCGTGACTAGAGGGATCGGCTAAAGATTTCCATACAGATCCTAGTTGAATTTTTTCTTGAACAAGTGCTCAGATGGTTGAGCGAAACAGGCTTCGGTGTATTTCCATTGGTCCCCGATGCCTTTGTTTGCCGATTCTAAGCATTTTTCCAAAAGGCGAACTAGAAACTCTGTAACAGAATCAACCCACTGCCGGGTTGAGCTGTAGATCATTCACTAGTTTCTTTAAAAAAGCTATCAGCAGAAATTCACATTGGTCAAATTCGTATGGTGTCAGAACACGTTACTTCATCTATTGTTTTTTTTGTGGATTTCAGGCGAACATGACAACCATGAAGCTCGTTGACGTCGTGACGTCGGTGACGCCGGCGACGGCAGCCTTCAATACAACAGAGAACCTGACTACAGAGGAAATCATGCAGCGACTTGAACAAATGATGGATATTCGAGCTATCGACGAAAATTGGCTTATCGGTTTATTGCTCGTCTACTCATTACTCATTATGACGGGTGCTCTTGGAAACGGACTAGTATGTTTAGCCGTCGCCCGTAAGCCAGCGATGCGGACTGCACGGAATATTTACATTATCAACTTGGCGATCAGCGACCTCATTTTGTGCTTATTTACTATGCCATTTTCGCTTGTTGAAATCGTCCTGAAATTTTGGCCACTCGGATTAGTTACCTGCAAACTCGTCGCTGGCCTCGAAGCAACCTCGATTTTTGTATCAACGATCTCAATAATGGCTATTGCAATTGACCGCTACAAAGTGATCCTCTACCCGACGCGGGAGACGTTCAATCCACTTAGTGGCTTTTTTATGGTAGCCACCATATGGATGATTGCCCTGCTTCTTGCGACCCCACTGTTCATCTATAAAACGGTGTTTACTCATGAGGTGCCGCAGAAGTTTTTATTATTGCAGGTTGGCCTTCAAGCAAAAGTCGATTATTGCGTCGAGCATTGGCCGCACAATAAAGGACGGTAGGTAGCATTCTTCTCAGGTATTACACTCTATAACAATTCATTTGTCCATTACGCAATTAGGAAATTACAATCATTGATAAGCAGACAGGTGGCTTGTAGGAAACATTCTTAATCTAATTTTAACATGCTTCGCTTAGACTTGAGAGCCTAAAAGACAGAAGCGTACAACTAGCAGCCTTAAACAAGTAAGAAAACTGTTGCCAGGACATTGGCCTCGCATTTTTTTTACAAGTATATCGATTTCTTCTCTGACCAACTTACGCTACTTTAGGTCTATCATTGAATTAGCCACCTATATATATATATATATATATATGTAAACAGGTTTATAACGCCTAATCTTCAATTCTATCATAATCCATACTACAGCTCGAAAAAGCTGCAAGCATTAATATAATGTTTGTAATATATAGTTTATTAATGATCGGAGCGATGTGTGTCCCCATGGGCTCTTTTTTTGATTGTCTCCTCTTCCGGCCGCGTACTAATCAAGAGGCTCCGTCATTCTCAACTAGCGGGCGATCCGTAGACTTTGATTAATATAAGGATTCGTCCACCAGTGAAACAGTTGATAGATCTTAGGGTTTATACACTTTTTCTTGTCAAGTGGTAGCGTTGATGGCTTTAAGACTTAGTGACACAGATAGAAGTTTCACGGCACTGAAATATCTCAAAACAGTGCGAGAATTCGAAGTAGAACAGACGTTTCGTATATAATAGGGCTTCACCGATTGACCTGGGGCATTCCTCGGTATTTTTCGGGGTTCAATAGCCCTGTTTATCGGGTCCGTGGGTCAGCGAATTGACAGCCTGTCGATGACGTCAATGAATCAACCATCATTTTGCACTTTCGCACCGACCTCTTCTTTCTCCACTAGTTTTCACGCCTATAGCGCGCTCGATGTGGGAATACATTCGAGAACGTGAATTGGCAACAGAGAAAAAGAATAGTCAAAAGCCGGGTTTCTAAGATGACTTGTTTGTAGACTCTGACGTGCGTTCGTAGGGTTTCGTGCAAGCCCGGTATGCTCTTCCAGGGAACGTTTTTCTAATTCTGGTGATATGTGTATCGCTCGCGACCGCAGTACTGCACTTCAGCCAACTGTCAGTCTGAAAATGCTATTATCACAACAGTTTTATATATAAGTCTTGAATCTATCTTACCTTGCGCTTACCTATAAAATAGCGGGCCTCCTGGGCCTGGTCTCGGAGCTGTGGTGTGGGAGCTAGAAAGATTTCTTTGAAAGGACTATTGTCATCGGCAAATTTCCACCACCGCAGTAGGCTTGTAGTTTGTTGCGGTCGGCAAATTCTTAAGAGCAAAATTGCTTTACGTGTTTATGCTTTGTTGTCGACAAGAGTTGCTCGAACGAAAAACTACTTTAGTAATACCGAAAGATTTACTTAGAAACACAGATCTTGCGTAGCCACCTAAAAACCCTAATCGAAATAGGTGCTAGAATGATGATTACGATTTTGTCGAGACGTGCGACTCTAGCAAACTGACGGTCATCTTAGTTTCCCGAGCTTTAGCCGTTCGATACTTGAGCGCTGCGTGAAGGCCTGATGGTGCAATTAGAATAGAAAACCATTATTATAGTACACTCGTGTTGTAAGTACGTAAAAATTCACACAAACCCCTATAAGGTTTCGCAATTATTTACAACAGTATTGCATAGAGCCCTCACAAAAGCGCGTCACGCAATCTAAAAGTAAAACAATAACAGGTACTTATGCTGATTTATAACAGCTGATTTAATGTTGGTTCGTAGACGTAAACTTATACCGTATCTAATAGCCCTATTACGGCAGAAATCTGTTAGTGTACAGGGCGCACTCGATAGTATATTCTTTAGAACCGCTACCACTTTCATTTTTTCGTTAGTGCTTGAAAGACATTAAAAAACCGATGCGCCAAATTCATTTACTTTATATCTGTCTATATTTTATAGCTTCGGCTTAATATATTGTCGAAGTAGTAAATAAAATTAGCGGCGGAACGCAATAGAACTGTGTGGCTATCCAAATACGCGGTAAGTGTATGTAGCAGTGACCTAATCATAGATGGAGATCGTGCACGTAAATAAACGTGCGGTTACAGGCTGAGTTCGGCTTCGAACCTACCGTTTTAACCCTGATGCTTCGGGTTCGATCTCTAGAAAATGATTTGTCCTAAATTTGTACCAGCTTATATGTGAATTATGTTTAAATATCGCTATAATATAAAATAGCTATTTTCATGATGTACACTGGATTTCTCAACAAAAAAAGCATTCAAAACAGAGTAAAAAAGCAACTAAAACTGATTGTTTACATATAAATAATATGAAGAGATATGGGCAATATGTCCTAACATTACTATTTTCTACGACACTCCCGTCCATCTTAGCTTCCGCGCGATCAATCCGAACAGATTCGATAGTAAAACTAGATTAAAAAAAAAGGCCTTCGGTGATTTTTTGTAGGATGCAGTTTTTTATTTTGTGGCCATTGTAAACTATCTGTATCGGCCTGTGGCATCATAATTTTTTTCGGTACCTTCTTCGAAAGTAATTTTCTTTCTACCAGATTTGGTTTAGTTGATGCCTAGTAGAAAGATGCCTACTTTCACTTGTCCTTTGTCCTTGGTGCATAGAATGTTTGTGTTCAGTAGAAGGACACTGGGAGAATTCCTATGTTCTCCCCTACTTACACAGTTCTTGCTTACCCTAAAGAGGGGCGATGGTAGGATCCCCCCGCCCCACTTTCGTGAACTTAGCAGTTTTGCGCGTACATAGTGTTGCATAGCAGAATAATCTCAAACAATGCCACCAGGACATGTACCTTGACATTATTCTATTGAAAAGGCAGTTTTACCCGAATTGCCCATTTGAAACGCTTGTCTTAAATTATTACTGCACATTTTTCGTTTTTTTTTTTTTTTTTTTAGGGTCTGTCATAAACGAAAGTGTTGCGCATAGGAACGTCGATCTAAATATAATAATAGTAACGACAATAATAACTGTACGCCTATATGGTCCTGACGTTTTCCCTTATGAATTGAGAATTCCAAGCAGCATCTGAGATCTGCTTCCCACCATTACTCTAATGTACGGTACAAATAGTTTTGTTTCGTCCATATCACACCGCTCTACTTTTTACTAAAAAACTTAAATTCGATAGCTTTTAGGTGACAGATCTTTACAGCCAATAGTATATCGCTGCCGTTCTCCATAAAGCATGGACATTGCGGACGCCTGCTTCCAACGTCATCGGAGCAACAGCCTAGTTATAGTGCTCCCTTCAGAAGCGAAGCGGCGAACAAACCGTCGACGATTAGAAGAACTATCGATATGAATACGCCCGCCTATTTGTTTGCCTTTTTCTTACCTTGCCACCCTAACCGTTCGAGTTACTTTGGCCAGACAGAGCAAACACGCTAACATTAACAAGAGCTACGGAAAACGCGCAGTCTACATTGTAGTGTTTCCACAGTGCAAAATGTCACATCCGTGTAATTGTGCTTTTCGGGTCATATAGGTTAGCGGAGAATATTTTCCCTTGTCGTTATCATCATAGTTGGCTGGTTTGAGACTAGACTAGGCAAGATTCGACGCCTGCAGGAATCGTTTCCCGCCACCATATACGCTTCCAGGGCCGCAGTGATTTTTCTCCTGTTCCTTTTTGTTTAGAAGAAACGTAAAGGGGAAAAACAACGACGGCGACCAAAACGCCGCTATCAGAATGCAGTAGGCTACAACCACTGTCATATCCTAGCGTCGTTTCCATAGTAACCTGTGATATCTACGTAAGCGAGCAGAGATGAAGGAAGCTTCCGATCCGGACGAGCGTTTATTCGTTTTCGCTTGTAACATCACACACCATCCGTTATGAAATCGGCACATCAAGTCTGCCATTTTTCTTCACAACGACACTGCATCTCTGAGTGTTTGTCGCCTTTTTTAGTGCAACGACGTTAGCGAATTGCTACTGAAAGGCTAGAACGTACAGTTGTTACTAGGTGGAAAAAAATAGCAACAAGTTTAAAAAAATACGCTAATCATGGAAGTCACACTTTCTATAGAACTGCGAAAGAAACGACGTACATTCTATAAAACCTACAAAGTTGGCGGGCATACTATATTTAAAAGTGCACGTTAAACAACTGGGGCTATATAACGGGAAATTAACTTTGAATGCTAACAGGACTCGATACAAAATTGCAGCTAGCTCATAATTAATTTAGTATGATCAGTGACCATATTATATCTACATTTCGTGACATCTCGCCATATGTCTTTTTTATCGAAGACAGATGACGAGAATTGTTTGACTCACGAAGCCCCCATATGCGTACGTGCATATGTGTACAAACTCTGATTATATATCTGGCACGATCATCCACGCATGAATAGTCTGAACGCATTGCCGTGATGGGATACAAGTCCATATACCTTTTCTATTCATATATCGTATTCGCGCCTATTATACAACATTGTAACCCTTATAGAATATATGCGACCCAATAGTTGCGGCCCTCCATGCCACGCTCATCCGTTTTACTAGTAGATATACGATTTCGTAATCAATTATAGGCGTAATGAATCTAGCATAGGCTGCTAGTTCAGGTCTCTCGATAGCAATCATCATCTTCCGTGTGGCCCCTTCTCCCGTTTTCATTTTATCGTCGCCTTACCCACTCACTGTTCACTAAGAAATCATCTTCTTCGCCTAAATACAGCCCTGCAAATACTACAAGCTTTCACAGAATTAGAGCAGCCTGGGAGAATGAAGAACTCCTATGGCTATCATGAGCAGCGGTGTTGCTAGCAAAATAGTTACTGTGTCTGCTGTCATAACTGCATCAACGAGTACTTCGATCTGCCACTGAAATCAGGGAACAAGAGAAAGAAATTCCGACAGGAAAGAAAGGATGTCAATAGATGACATTTTCCAGTGGCTGCAACCGTTATCATCGCAGTTACTAAGGGCTTGCTTGTGCATTGCAAATAGATATT